TCCGAGCTGTCCGACTTCAGGCGAGCTTTTGAGACCTCCCCCGGCTGCCATCGGCTATTCTCGTCTACTTTCGAGGCGAGCCGCAGCTCGTCTCAAACAAGCCTAAGATGTCCCCTGAAAGGCATCTTGGGAGTTGTAGTTCATGCCTTTTTTCTGATACTTTGTAACGCCTTATGTGAGGGTCATTAACTGAGTAGGCATACAAATAAATACTTCACAATAAGAGCGTGTGTCCTTCAGAATAAGAGTGTGCCTCCTTCACAATAAGAGTGTGCCTCCTTCACAATAAGAGTGTGCCTCCTTCACAATAAGAGCGTGTCTCCCCAGGTGCAGTTACTCTCTACGACCCTCAGCTGTGTTACGTCCTCGATGGTTTCCTCGGGCTTTACGGACTCTTCATCACCGGCATGTTCGTCAAGGAGAAGGTTATATTGTTATTTATATAAATATTTAAACCTTTGTTACGTTTTTTATTTGACTTTGTCATTTGTATTTCTTTGTGAAGTTCTTCAAAGGCAAGCTGAAGGAGAGTCTGTACAGCGTGAGTCACCTTATTATCTCAATCTGTTCAATCATCATTACAAAGTCAATGAGGATTAAATCCATAAATATATTTGTATTGATATGTTATTGGTTAATAATCAATACTGTGTTGTGTTCAGGACCTCAAGGAACTCGGAGAGAGGCAGAGTGAGTTCAGCTTCATTCATAATAATAACTCAATGATGACATTAGTCTGAATGTGTTTTGTGTTTTAGGGCCAGTCCTCCGGAGAGGAGCTCTAACACGGTGACACACACTTTATTACTTCTTTACATTCATCTAAAATCATTAAATATAATTATCTTTTATATTTTTTAACAAATATTTAATGATGATTTATTTTGTAATCTCCAGGGTCTGACTCGCCCCACGGACGGGGAGTACAAAGAGCTCCCCCTCAAGGTGAGGAGTTTATTATATATATACATATGTATATATATGTATATATACATATATATATATACACATATATATTCAAATGTTCTAAATAAAACAGAGTGGTGCAGGAACGAGTCCTAAAACCCAGAAGTGAGTCAGCATTTCACCACTTCCTGTTCCCTGGTCTCAGAGCCAATGGGATCTCTCCACTTCCTGTTCCCTGGTCTCAGAGCCAATGGGATCTCACCACTTCCTGTTCCCTGGTCTCAGAGCCAATGGGATCTCACCACTTCTTGTTCCCTGGTCTCAGAGCCAATGGGATCTCACCACTTCCTGTTCCCTGGTCTCAGAGCCAATAGGATCTCTCCATAGGGTTTAGGAAACTATCTGAACTAAGGTCTGTGGTTGAGACAAATTGAAGAGACGGATCACGTTTTGTTCTAGGACATTAAATCCATCAGCAGTGACCCCACTGGTGATTTCTGAAGAGTGTACGTGTCTGAAAAACGATGGTTGTTACCAAGTGGCTGAATAGGACTACAGAAGTCGTGGAGGACGTTGTACGTCATCACGCCAAACTCCTCTAAGTTAGTTAGCCCTGTTCTGCTTGAAAGCAAGTCCCTGCCTCCTGCAAACTGTTCAAACAAACGCTTCAACTCGTTCCATTTAGAATCTGTAGTTTTGAATATGGATCTGAAGTTGGCGTGACGTTGAAGTCGTGCTGCTGGACTCGGCTGTAGTTCCTTTATAGCATCACGTTAGCATTTTGCTTCTGGACATTAGATTTATGATTAGAACATTATAAAAGTAGAGTAGACATGTGGAGATTATCCAGCTGAACAAAACGTGATCCGTCTCTTCAATGTGTCTCAAACACAGACCTGATTTCCAGCTGTTTTCCTAAATCCTATGGAGAGATGCCATTGGCCTCTGAGCCGAGGGAACAGGGAGGGGCCTATGAGGGTCTGAGCCGAGGGAACAGGGAGGAGCCTATGAGGGTCTGAGACCAGGGAACAGGGAGGAGCCTATGAGGCTCTGAGACCAGGGGAACAGGGAGGAGCCTATGAGGCTCTGAGACCAGGGAACAGGGAGGAGCCTATGAGGCTCTGAGACCAGGGAACAGGGAGGAGCCTATGAGACCAGGGGACAGGGAGGAGCCTATGAGGCTCTGAGACCAGGGACAGGGAGGAGCCTATGAGGCTCTGAAACCAGGGACAGGGAGGAGCCTATGAGGCTCTGAGACCAGGGGACAGGGAGGAGCCTATGAGGCTATGAACCAGGGGACAGGGAGGAGCCTATGAGGCTCTGAGACCAGGGAACAGGGAGGAGCCTATGATACCAGGGGACAGGGAGGAGCCTATGAGGCTCTGAGACCAGGGGACAGGAGGAGCCTATGAGGCTCTGAGACCAGGGGACAGGGAGGAGCCTATGAGGCTCTGAGACCAGGGAACAGGGAGGAGCCTATGAGGCTCTGAGACCAGGGGACAGGGAGGAGCCTATGAGGCTCTGAGACCAGGGGACAGGGAGGAGCCTATGAGGCTCTGAGACCAGGGAACAGGGAGGAGCCTATGAGGCTCTGAGACCAGGGGACAGGGAGGAGCCTATGAGGCTCTGAGACCAGGGGACAGGGAGGAGCCTATGAGGCTCTGAGACCAGGGGACAGGGAGGAGCCTATGAGACCAGGGGACAGGGAGGAGCCTATGAGGCTCTGAGTTATTTAATATATAATCATTAATATAACTCTAAAGAAACACATTTATGAAGAAAAGGTAAATAAAATAAAGATGAATAAAACAAAGTATTGATTTATTTTATTCAGGAATCAATAATCCTATAAAACATCAGCTCTTACTTTTATTTGTTTTCTAAATGTATTTATTTGTTGTTTACTCGCAGCGTCTGAGGAAACCAGAACAGATTTACCAGGTGAGGAAACTCAGAGTTTTATTATTATCTTTGTTTTATTATTGTTATTGTTATTGTATATTTGTTGTTATTGTTATTGTATATTTGTTGTTATTGTTATTGTATATTTGTTGTTATTGTGATGATTTGCTGTGTTTTCAGGGTCTGAGCTCCGGGCCCAGAGACACGTACGACTCTCTGCAGATGCAGCCGCTGGCTCGATGAAACACTCCTCCTCCTCCTCTTCCTCCTCTTCCTCCTCCTCTTCCTCATCTCCTCCTCCTCCATAAAGTCACATCTAATCTGCAGTAAATATTAATTGAATAAGGGAAAATAAACAAATCCAAATAAAGGCACAGATCTGTGATTTAAAAGTTATACATTAAACTATTGTGTGTCACTCGGATAGTGTGTCCGCCCTCGTGCTAGTGGTATAAATACATTTTTTAACATTATTTAGTTTGTTCGCCGTAATATGAGTCATATTTCAATGTAAACTGGTCGGTAAAAGGCCTCAGTGAAAATGTATATTAAAGGCACTATGTTCAGAAAGTGGGTATTAACGCCCTCTTGTGGTCACGGTGAGTTACTGCAGCTGCTTTTCTGTCAAGCTAGAGGAATTGCATATTACATACCACTTCCTGTAACATCCTTCAAAAATAAAAAGTGTTCGATAACAGACGGAGGTGTATTTTAGTTTTTTTAACTCTCAATTTTACTTTGCGACTTTATCTGACTGCACGGTATTGTAGTCAACTTGATACAGAAACGTATCACATCTTCTAACTCTGTTCACTAAGCGGGAAGACATTTTATTTGATGGAAACAGTTCATTTAGCTTCGGCTAATGTTGTGTGCTAATCATACGGTGGCGGAGAGGGCTCAACGCGCTGAAAACACATACGGCTAATAACACTAAAGTAACCGGGAGACTTGAGGGACTGACCGAGAGCTTCAAACATTGGATCTGGTTATTTGCTTGCTGTTTAAAGAGAAACAGTAACATATTAATACGCTCGATACAAAGTCATTATCACATAGCATCCAGTCCATGGTAACATTTAGAGAGGAGCTTTGGCGCCCTCTTCTGGCTACAGTTGGTAACTACAACTCCGTTATCAAGTTAGAGGAGTTGCATACATACAAGACTTCCTGTTAAACCCAACCTTCCAAAATAAAACGTGGTTTTAATTTGCACGTTTTATCGACAGTATAACTTTACAGTTGAGTCAGAGTTCATGCTAGTGGAGTTCACATGATGAGAAACCCATTAAACCCTATTCTAGCGACAACAAAGGGACCCGGATGTAACCAATGCATCCTTATCAGGGTAAGACACGGATGTAACCAGTGCTATCAGGGTAAGCTAAAATGAAATTACATACGCACTTCTTCTAGCCTTTTACCGTCAAATTTACATTGAAATATGACTCATAATACGGTGAAATAAAGACAGGATACATGTTAAAACGTGTATTAACTACCTAGCTCTCAGTTAGTCCCTCGAGTCTCCCGATTACCTTAGCTCTATGTGTTAGCCGTATGTGTTTTCAGCGCGTCTCGGCCACCGTATGATTAGCACACAACATTAGCCGAAGCTAAACGAACTGTTTTCTTCAAATAACATGTCTTCCCGCTTAGTGAGTAGATGTAGAAGATGTGATACGTTTCTGTATCAAGTTGACTACAATACCGTGCAGTCAGATAAAGTCGTAAAGTAAAATTGAACGTTTTAAAAACTAAAATACACTTCCGTCGGTTACAAACAATGTTTTATTCTGAAGGATGTTACCGGAAGTGGTATGTAATATGCAATTCCTCTAGCTTGACAGGAAAGCAGCTGCAGTACCTCACCGTGACCACAAGAGGGCGTTAATACCCACTTTCTGAACATAGTGCCTTTAATATACATTTTCACTGAGGCCTTTTACCGACCAGTTTACATTGAAATATGACTCATATTACGGCGAAAAAAACGACAGAATCATGTTAAAAAATGTATTAACTCCACTAGCTCGAAGGCAGACACACTATTTTAGTAATACCTAGTAGTTTAATGTATAACTGTTACTTCAAGTCTGTGTTATCAAGTTAAATAAGTTACTTAAAACACTGCATTACCTGTAAATGTATATAAAGTATACATTAAAAGGAATATAACAAAGTGTACATGTGTATGAATGAATTACAGAGTAGTTCCTATTGCAGGATGTTCTGTGTTTATTTATATATATATATATATATTGGTGTCAACATAATGCTGAAAATCGCTTGAATTGGACTTTTATTCAATTAAATAATTGTAATCTTGTGGTTTATAATGCTCTTATGTGTGCATTTTATGTTTTTATTAGAAACTTGTTGACATGATTCAAATGCTAAATGCAGGATGTTATATTTCAATATTTGTATGATATTATATACTTGGTAATATGATATCTGAAAGCTAAATACATTTTAAAAAGACAGTTCCCATTTGCATAATTATTTGCATTCAAATCAAATGATCTTTTTACACAGTAACCTACATTGATTTACTGATTAACTATTCCTCGAGTACCACACGGTCCCTGCAGGGGGATACACACACGCACACGCACAGACACGCACACGCACACGCACACACGCACACGCACACGCACACACACACACACACAGTACATCCAACAAAATATATAAAGAATCAGACTGCCTTTAAAGATGTGTATGTATATATATATATATATATATATATATATATATATCCATGTTCTGTTGGAACAAAATTAATTAATAAAAAATATACATATTTAGAAGCTTTTATTTTTGTAAGTCTTTACCGGAAGTGGAATGCTTTTATACAGTGTCTAACTTTACTATAATTTCTCTCGGTTTTATGAGAACAGCTATACTGTAACTAACTCATTAAAAGCTATACATTAAACTATTGTGTGTCACTCAGATAGTGTGTCCGCCCTCGTGCTAGTGGTATAAATACATATTTTAACATTATTTAGTTTGTTCGCCGTAATATGAGTCATATTTCAATGTAAACTGGTCGGTAAAAGGCCTCAGTGAAATTGTATATTAAAGGCACTATGTTCAGAAAGTGGGTATTAACGCCCTCTTGTGGCATGGTGAGTTACTGCAGCTGCTTTTCTGTCAAGCTAGAGGAATTGCATATTACATACCACTTCCTGTAACATCCTTCAAAATAAAACATGTTCGATAACAGACGGAGGTGTATTTTAGTTTTTTTAATTCTCAATTTTATTGTACGACTTTATCTGACTGCACGGTATTGTAGTCAACTTGATACAGAAACGTATCACATCTTCTAACTCTGCTCACTAAGCGGGAAGACATTTTATTTGATGGAAACAGTTCGTTTAGCTTCGGCTAATGTTGTGTGCTAATCATACGGTGGCGGAGAGGGCTCAACGCGCTGAAAACACATACGGCTAATAACACTAAAGTAACCGGGAGACTTGAGGGACTGACCGAGAGCTTCAAACATTGGTTCTGGTTATTTGCTTGCTGTTTAAAGAGAAACAGTAACAAACACGCTAGATACAAAGTCATTATCACATAGCATCCAGTCCATGGTAACATTTAGAGAGGAGCTTTGGCGCCCTCTTCTGGCTACAGTTGGTAACTACAACTCCGTTATCAAGTTAGAGGAGTTGCATACATACAAGACTTCCTGTTAAACCCAACCTTCCAAAATAAAACGTGGTTTTAATTTGCACGTTTTATCGACAGTATAACTTTACAGTTGAGTCAGAGTTCATGCTAGTGGAGTTCACATGATGAGAAACCCTTAAACCCTATTCTAGCGACAACAAAGGGACCCGGATGTAACCAATGCATCCTTATCAGGGTAAGACCCGGATGTAACCAGTGCTATCAGGGTAATTGATTGAAAAGTTTATTAACAGCTTGTATATTGGGTACAGTACAGGTAAGCTAAAATGAAATTAAATACGCACTTCTTCTAGCCTTTTACCGTCAAATTTACATTGAAATATGACTCATAATACGGCGAAATAAAGACAGGATACATGTTAAAACGTGTATTAACTACCTAGCTCTCAGTTAGTCCCTCGAGTCTCCCGATTACCTTAGCTCTATGTGTTAGCCGTATGTGTTTTCAGCGCGTCTCGGCCACCGTATGATTAGCACACAACATTAGCCGAAGCTAAACGAACTGTTTTCTTCAAATAACATGTCTTCCCGCTTAGTGAGTAGATGTAGAAGATATGATACGTTTCTGTATCAAGTTGACTACAATACCGTGCAGTCAGATAAAGTCGTAAAGTAAAATTGAACGTTTTAAAAACTAAAATACACTTCCGTCGGTTACAAACAATGTTTTATTCTGAAGGATGTTACCGAAAGTGGTATGTAATATGCAATTCCTCTAGCTTGACAGGAAAGCAGCTGCAGTACCTCACCGTGACCACAAGAGGGCGTTAATACCCACTTTCTGAACATAGTGCCTTTAATATACATTTTCACTGAGGCCTTTTACCGACCAGTTTACATTGAAATATGACTCATATTACGGCGAAAAAACGACAGAATCATGTTAAAAAATGTATTAACTCCACTAGCTCGAAGGCAGACACACTATTTTAGTAATACCTAGTAGTTTAATGTATAACTGTTACTTCAAGTCTGTGTTATCAAGTTAAATAAGTTACTTAAAACACTGCATTACCTGTAAATGTATATAAAGTATACATTAAAAGGAATATAACAAAGTGTACATGTGTATGAATGAATTACAGAGTAGTTCCTATTGCAGGATGTTCTGTGTTTATTTATATATATATATATATTGGTGTCAACATAATGCTGAAAATCGCTTGAATTGGACTTTTATTCAATTAAATAATTGTAATCTTGTGGTTTATAATGCTCTTATGTGTGCATTTTATGTTTTTATTAGATACTTGTTGACATGATTCAAATGCTAAATGCAGGATGTTATATTTCAATATTTGTATGATATTATATACTTGGTAATATGATATCTGAAAGCTAAATACATTTTAAAAAGACAGTTCTCATTTGCATAATTATTTGCATTCAAATCAAATGATCTTTTTACACAGTAACCTACATTGATTTACTGATTAACTATTCCTCGAGTACCACACGGTCCCTGCAGGGGGATACACACACGCACACGCACAGACACACACACACACACACACACACACACACACACACACACACACACACACTGATTGATTCCTGAGAAAGTGTGTGTTATGATTGAAAGATGTTTCTGCTTCAGAGACACTGAGTTTATTAAAAGTCTCAATAAATCCGATCTATCAGATATTGCTGTATTGATTTAATAATACATGAAAGTCCTTGAAATACTTCTATAAAGGTGTTATTTATATGAAAAGGGATTTCAAGGCTATTATTGACTCTTTTTGAAACCCTCTCTTTATGAGGATTCTTCCACATTGTTTTGATGGTTTTATTTTGAAAATTCGGAGCGGAAGTTGTAGCTTTTAAGTGGCTGTTTGCTAACAGTTTATATCAAGGGTTAAATATTCTTGACTCTTTTTGAACCCTCTTGCTATAGAGGCTTCCTAATGACGTCACGCGAAATCCCATGACGTCATTAGGAAGCCTCTATGCGGAATCCTTTTTACTGTATTCATTTATAATGTTTATGCCAAAAATAGTGTTTTCATTGCAGATTTTATTTTGAAAGTAATGAGCGGAAGTCGTGTGTTAGCTCCAGAGCGGCTAGCTTTAGCTCTGTATTATCGTAGGCTCTGATTACTCGTTTATGGAACTCTATCTCATTCTGAATATTTCATAGTTTCTATTAATTTAATGTTTTCTTCTTCTGAGGAAAATAAAATGATTTAAATCAAAGTTTTTGGCTGGTTTTATTTTGAAAGTAATGAGCGGAAGTCGTGTGTAGCTCCAGAGCGGCTAGCTTTAGCTCTGCGTGCTAACAGCAACAACAGCAGTTTTTAAGCTGAATTGTGTAATAAAAGCCATTAATAACAACATGGAGAGCTCGGCTCCGAAGAGGCGGGAGAGCAAGAAGTCTCTGCGGGTGAAAGTCATCAGTCTGGGCAACGCCGAGGTCGGGAAGGTGAGAAATACATCTCTTTTACACCAAAATACGGTCAGAAAACTCAGGATTTAACATCAGATTCTCCTCTAATTATCATGTTTTAGAGCAAGATAACTACATGTTTATTAAAAGCAACGTTTGAAAGGCTTTACATTGAATAAATACCGTTTATTTATCTCCTGGTTTCCCTGTAATGATGCATACAACCTATGGACTGTAAAAATCACCCGGATTTACCTACAATGATTGTGACTTAAGCTACTGAATTAAGCTTTTCATCATTGATTACTATCCTTTTAAACATGTTTTATATAATAAGGACAATATTCACTTAAATTCGGCATACATATTACATTATAATAACTAATATTAATATATTTAATCATGTTTCTTCCTTCAGAAACCCTGCCCTTAAATCGGTATATTTCTGAATGGAGTTTGGTGTGAAGAGCTGCACACGTCACTTTCTTATTTACTGATAATTAAAACACACAACAACAACAACAACAATAAACATGTTTTCACAAAGACTGAAATCTTCTCTTAAATTCGGCGTATAAATAAACTGTTAAATATTTAATAATCAGTTTTATTTGTAACCTTCCTCGTGCTGTTTTGGTTCAGCGGCTGTGAGATTCTGCCTAGCAACCATGCAAATCATCCAGATAAAACATGTTTTTATAATAAATTAAATCTGCTTTGTGTTTATTATTGATGCCGAATTCACCAGGAGATCACAGTGAATCTGAAATAGTCATTAAAGTGTGGTTATAGTAATTTATTTGAGCATAAAACCTTTAAATGAACTCCCATTTTCTGTAAAAATTAGTGTTTTTCTGGATGGAGTTTGGTTTGAAATTAAACCTGATTTTCTTTCAGAGCTGCATTATTAAACGTTACTGTGAGAAGAGGTTTGTTCCTAAATATCTGGCGACCATCGGCATCGACTATGGCGTCACCAAGTAAGTCCTTATATATATGTATTTATTGTATGTGTCTCATGTTTTATTCTGGCTTTAAAACTTCATTAATGTTATAATAATATTACTGTGTGTTTCTGTCAGAGTTCAGGTCCGCGACAGAGAAATCAAGGTGAACATTTTCGACATGGCCGGACATCCCTTCTTCTACGAAGTGAGTATTTAAAAAAAGTAGGGCTGTCAGTCGATTTAAAATAGTTAATCGCTGTTTTATCTGTTTCTAAATGTACCTTAGAGGGATATTTTTCAAGTTTTTAATACTCTTATCAACATATGAGGGGACAAATATGCTTTATGCAAATGTGTGTTTATTATCATTTGAACAATGACAAATATTCTCATGAATATTAAACACAACAACCTCTGAACATTACGTGTGTGTGTGTGTGTGTGTGTGTGTGTGTGTGTGTGTGTGTGTGTGTGTGTGTGTGTGTGTGTGTGTGTGTGTGTGTGTGTGTGTGTGTGTGTGTGTGTGTGTGTGTGTGTGTGTGTGTGTGTGTGTGTGTGTGTGTGGTGTGTGTGTGTGTGTGTGTGTGTGTGTGTTGTGTGTGTGTGTGTGTGTGTGTGTGTGTGTGTGTGTGTGTGTGTGTGTGTGTGTGTGTGTGTGTGTGTGTGTGTGTGTGTGTGTGTGTGTGTGTGTGTGTGTGTGTGTGTGGTCCCACTGTCTGGCTACCTGCATCAAGTCAAGTGCTCGGCGCAGTTGTCGGCGAAATGTCGCTCCTCTGTTTTCATTGAAACAGCTCCTTATATCCGTTAGCGCAGCTAGCTAGCACCAGATGCTAACAACAACAACAACATGTAAGGTGTGCTTCGCTCGCCCCTCACACACACACACACCCTCCCGGTCCTCCCGATGGCCAGCCGGTGAGCGTGGAAGTGTGGTCTGCCACAAGCGGGCGGCAGGAGCGGGGCTGTCAGCATCAGCTCGTAGACGGTGTTTTAAACTCGATGCGCTCTGAAACTACGGGGCGGCGAGGACAAAAAATACAGATGCGTTAATCGCGTTAAAATAATTAGTGGCATTTTTTCTTGACAGCCCTAAAAAAAAAAAGATATTAATTATTTATAATTTTTCGTTTTTATATTTGTGTTTTTTACAACATTATTTTTGTTATTTTTATGTGATATTTTTGTCTCTTCATTTATTCAATAATTGTTGTTATTATTCTATATTTTTTTGTTTATATTTTCCATATTTTCTTATCAAATAATAAATATATTCTTACTGTTTTTACCTTTTTAACAAAAACAAATACAGTTGTAATGTTGGAAACCTTCCAGCAGGTGGTGCTGTAGGACCCATATTTTAAATATTGTTATATAATAATAACAATAACATATGTCTTGTGATGTGTTCAGGTGCGTAATGAGTTCTATAAGGACTCTCAGGGGGTTATGTATATGTGTTGTGATGTGTTCAGGTGCGTAATGAGTTCTATAAGGACTCTCAGGGGGTTATATATATGTCTTGTGATGTGTTCAGGTGCGTAATGAGTTCTATAAGGACTCCCAGGGGGTTATATATATGTCTTGTGATGTGTTCAGGTGCGTAATGAGTTCTATAAGGACTCCCAGGGGGTTATATATATGTGTTGTGATGTGTTCAGGTGCGTAATGAGTTCTATAAGGACTCCCAGGGGGTTATATATATGTCTTGTGATGTGTTCAGGTGCGTAATGAGTTCTATAAGGACTCTCAGGGGGTTATGTATATGTGTTGTGATGTGTTCAGGTGCGTAATGAGTTCTATAAGGACTCCCAGGGGGTTATATATATGTGTTGTGATGTGTTCAGGTGCGTAATGAGTTCTATAAGGACTCCCAGGGGGTTATGTATATGTGTTGTGATGTGTTCAGGTGCGTAATGAGTTCTATAAGGACTCTCAGGGGGTTATATGTGTTGTGATGTGTTCAGGTGCGTAATGAGTTCTATAAGGACTCCCAGGGGGTTATATATATGTGTTGTGATGTGTTCAGGTGCGTAATGAGTTCTATAAGGACTCTCAGGGGGTTATGTATATGTGTTGTGATGTGTTCAGGTGCGTAATGAGTTCTATAAGGACTCTCAGGGGGTTATATATATGTGTTGTGATGTGTTCAGGTGCGTAATGAGTTCTATAAGGACTCTCAGGGGGTTATATGTCTTGTGATGTGTTCAGGTGCGTAATGAGTTCTATAAGGACTCTCAGGGGGTTATATATATGTGTTGTGATGTGTTCAGGTGCGTAATGAGTTCTATAAGGACTCTCAGGGGGTTATGTATATGTGTTGTGATGTGTTCAGGTGCGTAATGAGTTCTATAAGGACTCTCAGGGGGTTATATGTGTTGTGATGTGTTCAGGTGCGTAATGAGTTCTATAAGGACTCTCAGGGGGTTATATATATGTGTTGTGATGTGTTCAGGTGCGTAATGAGTTCTATAAGGACTCCCAGGGGGTTATGTATATGTGTTGTGATGTGTTCAGGTGCGTAATGAGTTCTATAAGGACTCTCAGGGGGTTATATATATGTGTTGTGATGTGTTCAGGTGCGTAATGAGTTCTATAAGGACTCCCAGGGGGTTATGTATATGTGTTGTGATGTGTTCAGGTGCGTAATGAGTTCTATAAGGACTCTCAGGGGGTTATATATATGTGTTGTGATGTGTTCAGGTGCGTAATGAGTTCTATAAGGACTCTCAGGGGGTTATGTATATGTGTTGTGATGTGTTCAGGTGCGTAATGAGTTCTATAAGGACTCTCAGGGGGTTATATATATGTGTTGTGATGTGTTCAGGTGCGTAATGAGTTCTATAAGGACTCTCAGGGGGTTATATATATGTGTTGTGATGTGTTCAGGTGCGTAATGAGTTCTATAAGGACTCCCAGGGGGTTATATATATGTGTTGTGATGTGTTCAGGTGCGTAATGAGTTCTATAAGGACTCCCAGGGGGTTATATATATGTGTTGTGATGTGTTCAGGTGCGTAATGAGTTCTATAAGGACTCCCAGGGGGTTATATATATGTGTTGTGATGTGTTCAGGTGCGTAATGAGTTCTATAAGGACTCTCAGGGGGTTATATATATGTGTTGTGATGTGTTCAGGTGCGTAATGAGTTCTATAAGGACTCTCAGGGGGTTATATGTGTTGTGATGTGTTCAGGTGCGTAATGAGTTCTATAAGGACTCCCAGGGGGTTATATATATGTGTTGTGATGTGTTCAGGTGCGTAATGAGTTCTATAAGGACTCTCAGGGGGTTTATATATATGTGTTGTGATGTGTTCAGGTGCGTAATGAGTTCTATAAGGACTCTCAGGGGGTTATATATATGTGTTGTGATGTGTTCAGGTGCGTAATGAGTTCTATAAGGACTCCCAGGGGGTTATATATATGTGTTGTGATGTGTTCAGGTGCGTAATGAGTTCTATAAGGACTCTCAGGGGGTTATATGTGTTGTGATGTGGTTCAGGTGCGTAATGAGTTCTATAAGGACTCTCAGGGGGGTTATATATATGTGTTGTGATGTGTTCAGGTGCGTAATGAGTTCTATAAGGACTCTCAGGGGGTTATATATATGTGTTGTGATGTGGTTCAGGTGCGTAATGAGTTCTATAAGGACTCTCAGGGGGTTATATATATGTGTTGTGATGTGTTCAGGTGCGTAATGAGTTCTATAAGGACTCTCAGGGGGTTATATATATGTGTTGTGATGTGTTCAGGTGCGTAATGAGTTCTATAAGGACTCTCAGGGGGTTATATATATGTGTTGTGATGTGTTCAGGTGCGTAATGAGTTCTATAAGGACTCTCAGGGGGTTATGTATATGTGTTGTGATGTGTTCAGGTGCGTAATGAGTTCTATAAGGACTCTCAGGGGGTTATATATATGTGTTGTGATGTGTTCAGGTGCGTAATGAGTTCTATAAGGACTCTCAGGGGGTTATATGTGTTGTGATGTGTTCAGGTGCGTAATGAGTTCTATAAGGACTCCCAGGGGGTTATATATATGTGTTGTGATGTGTTCAGGTGCGTAATGAGTTCTATAAGGACTCTCAGGGGGTTATATATATGTGTTGTGATGTGTTCAGGTGCGTAATGAGTTCTATAAGGACTCCCAGGGGGTTATATATATGTGTTGTGATGTGTTCAGGTGCGTAATGAGTTCTATAAGGACTCTCAGGGGGTTATATATATGTGTTGTGATGTGTTCAGGTGCGTAATGAGTTCTATAAGGACTCCCAGGGGGTTATATATATGTGTTGTGATGTGTTCAGGTGCGTAATGAGTTCTATAAGGACTCTCAGGGGGTTATATATATGTGTTGTGATGTGTTCAGGTGCGTAATGAGTTCTATAAGGACTCTCAGGGGGTTATATATATATATGTGTTGTGATGTGTTCAGGTGCGTAATGAGTTCTATAAGGACTCTCAGGGGGTTATATGTGTTGTGATGTGTTCAGGTGCGTAATGAGTTCTATAAGGACTCTCAGGGGGTTATATATATGTGTTGTGATGTGTTCAGGTGCGTAATGAGTTCTATAAGGACTCTCAGGGGGTTATATATATATGTGTTGTGATGTGTTCAGGTGCGTAATGAGTTCTATAAGGACTCCCAGGGGGTTATATATATGTGTTGTGATGTGTTCAGGTGCGTAATGAGTTCTATAAGGACTCTCAGGGGGTTATATATATGTGTTGTGATGTGTTCAGGTGCGTAATGAGTTCTATAAGGACTCTCAGGGGGTTATATATATGTGTTGTGATGTGTTCAGGTGCGTAATGAGTTCTATAAGGACTCTCAGGGGGTTATATGTGTTGTGATGTGTTCAGGTGCGTAATGAGTTCTATAAGGACTCCCAGGGGGTTATATATATGTGTTGTGATGTGTTCAGGTGCGTAATGAGTTCTATAAGGACTCTCAGGGGGTTATATATATGTGTTGTGATGTGTTCAGGTGCGTAATGAGTTCTATAAGGACTCATGTATATGTGTTGTGATGTGTTCAGGTGCGTAATGAGTTCTATAAGGACTCTCAGGGGGTTATATATATGTGTTGTGATGTGTTCAGGTGCGTAATGAGTTCTATAAGGACTCTCAGGGGGTTATATATATGTGTTGTGATGTGTTCAGGTGCGTAATGAGTTCTATAAGGACTCTCAGGGGGTTATATGTGTTGTGATGTGTTCAGGTGCGTAATGAGTTCTATAAGGACTCTCAGGGGGTTATATGTATGTGTTGTGATGTGTTCAGGTGCGTAATGAGTTCTATAAGGACTCCCAGGGGGTTATGTATATGTCTTGTGATGTGTTCAGGTGCGTAATGAGTTCTATAAGGACTCCCAGGGCGTGCTTCTGGTGTACGACGTGGGTCTGAGGGAGAGTTTCGAGGCGTTGGACAGCTGGCTCGGGGAGATGAAACAGGAAATGGGGTCTCAGGCGAACATGGACAGCATCGTGTTTGTGGTCTGCGCCAACAAGGTACCTGAAGCCTCAGAATAATGAAGTACTAAAGTATCTGATGGCATATTTAATATATGACTGTTTGTACAGGTGGACCTGACGAAGAGACGTGTGGTCGATGAAGGCGAGGGACGACTCTTCGCTGAGTCTCGAGGGTTTCATTACTTTGAGACGTCAGCGCAGAGCGGCGAGGGGATCAACGAGATGTTCCAGGTAATAATAATATGAAAACATTGGATCGTTATCGCGCCTTTCCTAAAGCTCGAAGACGCTTTACATCAAAGAATACAGTACTGTACGATAAGATACAGAACAACACGCTACGATACAATCAACGAGATGTTCCAGGTGATGCATGCTATAATTTACGATACAGTGCGATACGATACATTACATTACGATACTTTAGGATACTTTACGATACTTTAGGAACAGTGCGATACATTACATTATGATGCATTCCGATAATTTGCGGTAAGATATGATACTTTACGATACGAAGGTTAACGAAAGTTTACGATGCTTTACGATACAGTTGGCTAGAATTTGATACAATACAGCTTTATCTGTACAGCTCTTCAAAACCTCCAAAGTGAATATAAATATTTACTCCCCGCAGGCGTTCTTCTCCTCCATCACCGACATGTGTGAGAACGGTGGAAAGCGTCCGGTGACGGAGCTCAGCGTGGGGTTCACTAAAGAGCAGGCGGACACCATCAGACGCATCAGAAACAGCAAGGACTCCTGGGACATGCTGGGGGTCAAACCAGGGGCCACACGGTGAGTCAGCACTTTGTAGCTAACATTAGCCACCTTTAGCTTAGCGGTGGTGACGTGAAGTCATGTGACCAGGTTGTAACGTTGGTTCCGCCTCTTGTTTCCAGGGAGGAAGTGAACAAGGCGTACAGGAAGTTGGCGGTGTTGCTTCATCCTGATAAATGTGTTGCCCCCGGCAGCGAAGATGCCTTCAAGGCCGTGGTGAACGCTCGCACCTCACTACTGAAGAACATCAAATAACACTTCACTCTGATTGGACGTCCCATGCTCGGCCAATCACACGCAGCCGCTCTGACAGTGGTTATTTATTTATTTATTGTAAAGGTGTGTGTGCCAACGTTCGTCCGGTTTAACTTATTTACACTTTATCTGGACTGGCCTCTGTGTTGCTGTTAGAGGAAGACGAGGAAGAAGAGGAAGAAGAAGAAGACGAGGAAGAGTCAGAGCGGTTAAATATTATAGAAACGTGTTAAAAATGACGAGTTAAAATGTCCATCTTAAAGCCTGTTTGCCAAAACAAAGCTCCTCCCGACTTTAGTTCCCTAAAGCGACTTTAGTTCCCTAAAGCGGCTTTAGTTCCCTAAAGCGGCTTTAGTTCCCTAAAGCGACTTTAGTTCCCTAAAGCGGCTTTAGTTCCCTGAAGTCACGTTAGTTCCCTGAAGTCACGTTAGTTCCCTGACGTGACTTTAGTTCCCTAAAGCGACTTTCGTTCCCTAAAGCGGCTTTAGTTCCCTGAAGTCACGTTAGTTCCCTGAAGTCACGTTAGTTCCCTGAAGTCACGTTAGTTCCCTGACGCGACTTTCGTTCCCTAAAACGACTTTCGTTCCGTAAAGCGACTTTAGTTCCCTGAAGTGACGTTAGTTCCCTAAAGCGACCTTAGTTCCCTCAAGCGGCTTTAGTTCCCTGAAGCGGCTTTAGTTCCCTGAAGCGACCTTTGTTCCCTAAATCGGCTTTAGTTCCCTAAAGCGACTTTAGTTCCCTGGAGCGGCTTTAGTTCCCTAAAGCGACTTTAGTTCCCTAACGCGGCTTTAGTTCCCTGAAGTCACGTTAGTTCCCTGAAGTCACGTTAGTTCCCTGACGTGACTTTAGTTCCCTAAAGCGACTTTCGTTCCCTAAAGCGGCTTTAGTTCCCTGAAGTCACGTTAGTTCCCTGAAGTCACGTTAGTTCCCTGAAGTCACGTTAGTTCCCTGACGCGACTTTCGTTCCCTAAAACGACTTTCGTTCCGTAAAGCGACTTTAGTTCCCTAAAGCGACCTTAGTTCCCTCAAGCGGCTTTAGTTCCCTGAAGCGACCTTTGTTCCCTAAAGCGACTTTAGTTCCCTGGAGCGGCTTTAGTTCCCTGAAGCGACGTTAGTTCCCTAACGTCACGTTAGTTCCCTAAAGTGACTTTTGTTCCCTGAAGCGGCGTTAGTTCCCTGACGTCACGTTAGTTCCCTAAAGTGACTTTTGTTCCCTGAAGCAACTTTAGTTCCCTGACGTGACTTTAGTTCCCTGACGTGACTGTAGTTCCCTGAAGCGACGTTAGTTCCCTAAAGTCACGTTAGTTCCCTGACGTGACTTTTGTTCCCTGAAGCGGCGTTAGTTCCCTGACGTGACTTTAGTTCCCTGACGTGACTTTAGTTCCCTGACGCGACTTTAGTTCCCTGAAGCGACTTTAGTTCCCTGGCGTCACGTTAGTTCCCTAAAGTGACTTTTGTTCCCTGAAGTGGCTTTAGTTCCCTGAAGCGACATTAGTTCCCTAACGTCACGTTTGTTCCCTGAAGCGGCGTTAGTTCCCTGACGTGACTTTAGTTCCCTGACGTGACTTTAGTTCCCTAAAGTGACTCCCTCCAAACTGTGCCATTACATCCACGTGTACTTTTTTACTCTTATCCTTGAATGACAGATTTGTTCCCGTATATTACTGCCTGACTAATATTAAATAACTTGTGCCAACTAATGAGTTAATCTTGCTAAATCGTATTATGTTCCCTCAACAATACAAATTAGTTCCCTGAAGTAAGTCATTTTTTAACTTGACTCATTTGGATATAATTTGAACCTTTTTTTAAATATATTTTTTCTTTCCTCACCTGACAAATTAGTTCCCTAAAATTACAACTTTTTTCAGAATATTAATTATTTGTTCCCTAAAATTGCTAATCGGGTCCTTGAAATAGGATATTTGTTGGAAACGTGCTAATGTGTGTATTTATAATTCAATAATTAGTTCCCTTCAGGGGCTGATAGTATTAAACGATGTGTGCCACCAACCTGCTCATTAGTTCCCTAAAGGGACTGATAGTATTAAACGATGTGTGCCATCAACCTGCTCATTAGTTCCCTAAAGGGAATGTTAAAACATGTTAAACTGAAGTGTGTGTGTGTGTGTGTGTGTGTGTGTGTGTGTGTGTGTGTGTGTGTGTGTGTGCATGTTTGTGCATGTTTCACTGTTTTTAAAAATAATAAAAACTATTTCTCGAGCACCGTGTGTTTTTATACTTTTTTTTATATGTTTACTTCTATATTAAAAGTGTTTTAGCATCATGTTCCTGGATGTGGAAACCTCACCAACGCCTTCCTGTTTTCCTCGTTAGATAAACAAAGGGATGTCTTGTTAAACGGGGCGGGGGGGGTCGGGGGGGCTCGGTTACAAAGAGGCTGAAACAAAGCTTCACTTCCTGGAGGACTTCCTGTGAGCAGACAATGAGGCTTTGTTATCACACCATTATGCAGCAGAGAGTCTGGACCTGCACAGGGCGCTGAACAGCTGAGAGAGTCTGGACCTGCACAGGGCGCTGAACAGCTCAGAGAGTCTGGACCTGCACAGGGCGCTGAACAGCTGAGAGAGTCTGGACCTGCACAGGGCGCTGAACAGCTCAGAGAGTCTGGACCTGCACAGGGCGCTGAACAGCTGAGAGAGTCTGGACCTGCACAGGGCACTGAACAGCTCAGAGAGTCTGGACCTGCACAGGGCGCTGAACAGCTCAGAGAGTCTGGACCTGCACAGGGCGCTGAACAGCTCAGAGAGTCTGGACCTGCACAGGGCGCTGAACAGCTCAGAGAGTCTGGACCTGCACAGGGCGCTGAACAGCTGAGAGAGTCTGGACCTGCACAGGGCGCTGAACAGCTCAGAGAGTCTGGACCTGCACAGGGCACTGAACAGCTGAGAGAGTCTGGACCTGCACAGAGCGCTGAACAGCTCAGAGAGTCTGGACCCGCACAGGGCGCTGAACAGCTCAGAGAGTCTGGACCCGCACAGAGCGCTGAACAGCTCAGAGAGTCTGGACCCGCACAGAGCGCTGAACAGCTCAGAGAGTCTGGACCTGCACAGGGCGCTGAACAGCTCAGAGAGTCTGGACCTGCACAGGGCGCTGAACAGCTCAGAGAGTCTGGACCTGCACTGAACAGCTGAGAGAGTCTGGACCTGCACAGAGCGCTGAACAGCTCAGAGAGTCTGGACCTGCACAGGGCGCTGAACAGCTCAGAGAGTCTGGACCTGCACAGGGCACTGAACAGCTCAGAGAGTCTGGACCTGCACAGAGCGCTGAACAGCTCAGAGAGTCTGGACCTGCACAGAGCGCTGAACAGCTCAGAGAGTCTGGACCTGCACAGAGCGCTGAACAGCTCAGAGAGTCTGGACCTGCACAGAGCGCTGAACAGCTCAGAGAGTCTGGACCTGCACAGGGCACTGAACAGCTGAGAGAGTCTGGACCCGCACAGGGCACTGAACAGCTCAGAGAGTCTGGACCCGCACAGAGCGCTGAACAGCTCAGAGAGTCTGGACCTGCACAGGGCACTGAACAGCTCAGAGAGTCTGGACCTGCACAGGGCGCTGAACAGCTCAGAGAGTCTGGACCTGCACAGGGCGCTGAACAGCTCAGAGAGTCTGGACCTGCACAGGGTGCTGAACAGCTCAGAGAGTCTGGACCTGCACAGGGCACTGAACAGCTGAGAGAGTCTGGACCTGCACAGAGCGCTGAACAGCTCAGAGAGTCTGGACCTGCACAGAGCGCTGAACAGCTCAGAGAGTCTGGACCTGCACAGAGCGCTGAACAGCTCAGAGAGTCTGGACCTGCACAGAGCGCTGAACAGCTCAGAGAGTCTGGACCTGCACAGGGCACTGAACAGCTGAGAGAGTCTGGACCTGCACAGAGCGCTGAACAGCTCAGAGAGTCTGGACCTGCACAGAGCGCTGAACAGCTCAGAGAGTCTGGACCTGCACAGAGCGCTGAACAGCTCAGAGAGTCTGGACCTGCACAGGGCACTGAACGGACAATAATACCGTTTTATTATTTTTACATCATCATATAAATCGTCATTTATTTTTTACCTTAATTTATATATTTTTGTATATTTTTGTGACCTTTTTATATTCTATTATTGTATTTGATTTATGATTTATGAAACATGTTATTTATTTTTGACATTTCATTGTATTTTTTTCTTTATCTATTTATTATTTTGTAACGTTTTTGTTCGATGTATTTCTCATTGTTCCTCAGTAGCTGAAAGGATAGGGTTCGATTAGTGATTGATTTATGACCCCCCATAAAACCTTAGTCCCGCCCCTAAATCCCTTTGATGTGTCAGTGCACCCCTCACCCTAATAAACCATTGTCTTCATTCTTTGTATGACTTGTTTGTTTAGCTGTTTATAGTTTCATTGCTCCCTATAAAGTATTGTTCCTACATCGGGGGGTAATAAGACTTTATTGATGTGACAGGTGCACTACGCTATCCTTTCAACTACTTACCTCAACCATTGAATTCATGAATTCATTATTATTCTGTGTATCCCCACATTGAATCCTCCCTCTCTCAGACGTATCCTGAGCCTCCCTACAGCTCCTCCTCTCCCCCCTCCCTCCATTATAAGCTCTCCCGTCCTCTCTCTCTGACTCTCTGACTCCTGACGGATCGTACCATGCAGCTGGACGTTGTGGGGGTGTTCTCTCCTGACCTGTGGGGGTTCCTTCTGCTCCTGGGGGCCTCTCTGCTCTCTCTCACCTCCCTATTGGCCCCCTGGCTCTCTCTGGCCTCCGACCTGCTGCCAGCTGAGAGGTTTGATCTGTCTCTGTGGGGGGGCTGTGTGGTTCACGACGGGGGGCCCCTGCAGTGCCGGCCCCACCCCGGGCTCCTGGCCCTGCCCCCCCACCTGCTGTGGGCCCGGGTCCTCACAGGGGCCTCGCTGGGCTTCAGTCTGCTGGCTCTGCTGCTGACGGCCCCCGGACTACAGGTGGTTCACAGCTGGGGGTCCCGTCAGAAGAGGGTCCTGCTGGGTGTTGGGGGGGGCCCTCAGCCTGGTGGCAGGGCTCCTGGTTCTAGTCCCGGTGTCTCACGTGGCCCGCCTGGCCTCCCTGAGCCGGTTCGACCCCTCACTGCCCCCCGTGGCCCCCCGCTGGGAGAAGGGGGGGGCGCTGTACAGTGGCTGGGCGGCGGCTGGGATGCACCTGGGAGCTGGAGCCCTGCTCATAGCTACCTGTTACCGTCAGAGGGGGGGCGCACCGGAGACAGACCCCCGAGGGGCTCCCCACCCCCCAGGGGCCCCCGTCAGGAGGACAGAGAGGGTCTGAACTACAGCTTTCAGGAGGTCGGAACACGACTGACCACCGACTGAAACCACTACTGAAACTACGGCTGAACTACAACTTACCCCCGACTTTCAGGAGGTCCGAATACGACTGAACTGCTGCTGAACTACGGCTGAACTACGGCGGACCTACAACTGAAACTACGGCTAAACCACAACTGAACTGCGGCCGAACTGTGGCTGAACTACAACTAAAACTACGGCTGAACTGCGGCTGAACTACGACTGAATCAACAACTGAAACTACGGCTGAACTGCGGCTGAACTACAGCTGAACTGCAGCTGAACTACGACTGAATCAACTACTGAAACTACGGCTGAACTGCAGCTGAACTGCTGCTGAACTACGGCTGAACTACGGCGGACCTACGACTGAAATTACGGCTAAACCACAACTGAACTGCGGCCGAACTGTGGCTGAACTACAACTGAAACTACGGCTGAACTGCGGCTGAACTACGACTGAATCAACAACTGAAACTACGGCTGAACTGCGGCTGAACTACAGCTGAACTACAGCTGAACTGCGGCTGAACTACGACTGAATCAACTACTGAAACTACGGCTGAACTGCTGCTGAACTACGGCTGAACTACGACTGAACTACGACTGAAACTACGGCTGAACTGCGGCTGAACTACGACTGAATCAACAACTGAAACTACGGCTGAACTGCGGCTGAACTACAGCTGAACTGCGGCTGAACTACAGCTGAACTGCGGCTGAACTACGACTGAATCAACTACTGAAACTACGGCTGAACTGCTGCTGAACTACGGCTGAACTACGACTGAAACTACGGCTGAACTACAACTTACCCCGGCCTTCAGGAGACGGACTACAAGTGACTGCCGGTGCCATATCTACGAGGTTAAGTCAGTAAAACGTTTCCACTTGAAGCTCTTAAGACAACTCTTGTTTTGTAATCTTGAGACTGTTTATCTTCCGTAGCTCATCACTAGCTCTAACTCCTATTAGCATTAGCATTAGCATTAGCATTAGCATGACATAACGCCTCATTAGCATATTTAAACATGACCCGTCAGAAAAGGTGTAATATATAAAAGGACAGTGTTGGCGTCAGTGATGAGGCGGCGGAGTTTCAGGGGGATATCTGTTAGTTTCATATTTGACCCTGTTCACTTTTAGACAAAACGAGCCGCTGCTAAACTTTATTTAAAACAACAAAACTTTACATTTTTATGAAATAAAAGCTTGTTTTGATGCTTTTAAGATGAAAATATATGAAATCTGAAATAAGTGATTTATATTTCATTAAAATCCCTTTTTAATGGAAATGGAGGTTTTTAATCTGATTTAACTTTTCTTCATCTTTATAATAATTTGGCTTCAATCATTAAGT